AGCATTGCCTCGCACCTGAGTCGTAGCCGAGAGGCTCTGCGTGGGTGTTGGAGTGTGTGAGTGTGTGTGGGTTGTGTGTCAGCGTGGGCACCAAAAAAGCGCCAATTCAGCGTCCGAAATGTGTTCGGTTCATGCTGCTTATTGCGTGTTCCATGTCGTTTCGGTTGTTGTTCGTTTTGTGTTGCTTGCGCTCTTTATTTTGTTATACTCGCTCAGGCAGCCATGGGAGTAGATTGGTTTTGTGTAATGTCAGCTCTGCTGTATGTCTTCGTAGCTCCTATACAAACTAGAAAATTACTAATTTATGGTGTTAGTTTGCCCAAATGTATGCCAAGTCTGCAATTCTTTTATTTAGCTTGTATTTAGTTATCAATTTAATAACTAACAATATGATTCTTACTAGCTTTATCTTCACAACCTTCTTCTTCATAATCTCCTCTACAATTAATTTACTTAAACATTTGCTTAACGAACGAGCATGTTAAAGTCGACTGCGCCCGCTTGACTTAGTTTTTACTTGTATTTTTTTTTGCTGTTGTTGTCTTTATACGCCGCATTATAGCGCGTGTTTTCCGTTTTCCGCCTTTTGTTTGTGCTGCTTGCGGCACAGCTGTGAATAGGCAACAAGACCAACAACAACAGCAACCACGCACACATAACATTGTACTTAAATGTCCCGCCCTGCGGCCATGCTTGCTGTGGTGTAAATGAAATTACAACTGCGCTTAAAGCCGAAAATCCAATTAGAAAAAAGCGTTGCGCCGGGGTTTTATCGCAGATGTTTTTTGCTACTATTGTTGTTACTGTCGGCATCCGGCCAAACACGCACCGCATGCCAGCTGTCTGCCGATTCAGATTCATGCGTGACAGCTGAGACACAGCAAACAAGCTAAATGCCTTTCTATGTGGTTCTCAAAAATATGGAAATTGTCGTTACTACAAATGAATGTTAGCTAGTGCTAAAAGGATTTCAATGTAGATTGCAATTTGGGCTTTTCTTTGTTAAATCATAATTTAGAGTGCAATTTTAGCACGTTGAGAAATTCCATAATAAACGAGTTCAATTAACCCCAAAGTGAGATAATTAACAATTAGACTGTGAGGCTCTTTATAATTTAATTCAATTTTAAATTTATTATAAATTTATCTCACAAGTCTTAGAAATTGACATAAAGCCGTTTGCAGCTCCAATTAGTGTTATTAGCCTTTGGTATTATATGTGTTCGCTTTAATGGCCAACACAATATTGACTTGGCTATCATAACAGGCAAATACAGAGAATTGTCAGAGCTAAGCAGACAGACGCAGCAAGAGCTCAAATGGCATTTAACATGACAAAACTTTGCCTGCAGTAAACAACAATTAGTGAGCAATGATTATGCAAGTGAAATGAGGCCAAAATTGCAATCGGCCTGGCCGCAAAAACAAATTGGCAGACAACAACAGAGTGCGACCTTCGAAGGCATTAGGCCAAATGCTCTATGCGTTTGTCTGCGTAATGCATGTGTGTGTGTGTGTGAGTGTGTGTGTGAGTGTGTGTGTGTGCGTTAGTGCTTTGGCAAATGAGTTTGTTTTATGCACAAAGCAAATGCTCGAAATGCCAGAAAAGGAAACAACGCCAAAGCCGCAGTATTTGGTCAAATACGAATGCAACAAGAAAATATCCTTTAAAGCCCCTTTGGCTCTCAATTTTTGTGTGTCTATGTGTGCGTTGGTATTTGTGCTCATTTGCATATGCCCGGCCGTAAAGCGTTGCTGCATTCGCTTAAGCCAAACACTGGCTATATAATTTGTGCTTCGGACCCAATCTTCCAACTGCTGTTGTTGTTATTGTTGTTGTTGTTGTTTTGATGGTTGCTTGTTTATTATCGTTGCTGGAATTGTGCAAAATGTTGGCTACACATTTTAAAACTAGGCCAAAAAACCAGCTGCTCGGCCATTGTTGTTGCCGCCGCTGCCAACTCTGAATAATGATGAAGTTCTAACTGTCGGTTTGTGGGTGCGGTTGCATTTCAGCAGGTGTGAAGCAGGTGCGAAATCGTTGCTAGCACAAAGCAGAAGGGAAGTAGTTACTGGGAGAAAATGTAAACGGAATTTATGTGTTGCAACACAGCAGAGCGACATAAACAGAAATAAAGGAAAACAAAATAAAAGTTCAGTAAACGAATCTTTAAATTGAAAAAGTTGAGATTCCCAACAATAGTTAATGAAAACAGCAACTTGCAATGGGTTTTGAGTGTTGACTGTTGAGTTGATAAAGAACTTTAATATATAGCAGTACCGCAAGAGTTGGAGCTATAGAAGAGACTTTAAGAAATAAAAATTTAGCTTCCATTGCAGCTTACTTTTCCTGAATGCTAATCAATAGACACCTACTTACACCTTCCTCTGGCCGTCCAGCTCTGAGTTATGTATGTCGTGGTTGAACAAGCACATCTGGCAGACATGTGACACGCTCGAGTTGACTAGAAGTTGAAAAGTGGGCCACATACTAGTCGGGATGACCTTCTTCTTGGCATGTCTCTCATTGCGTTCCTGCTTATGCAACATCAACCGTCTGCTGTGACTTTGACTTGCGAACCACGACTAATTAGCCTTTGCCGTTCATTGTGAAATGCATATGAGATGCGCCCTTTACCGTGCTGTTGAGCGGCATAATTAAGCTCAACGGCAATTGCTCGCGTCGGTGTCAGAGCCAGTACCAGAGGCAGGGGCTGGGGCAGCGTCCGACTGCTTAGTTGTGAATTTGAGTAGAATGTGACGTGGCAACATCGTGCTCGTTGCTTATGCGCCGCCTTGATGACAGCCTCTAAGTTTTTAATGAGCAGCAGCCTGCCAGCCCAGTCTTGGCTAAAAGTGTTCAGTTGCTGTTAGGTCTTAACAGGGTTAAATGTGCCCACAGCAGATCTTTATAGGCAGTCAGCGGCTCTCCTGGGGCTCAATGCCTGTGTCGCTAGAAGTTTTTTGCGTTATTTATGAGCGTTGCGGATCTGTCAGTGCCACGATTAAATACCCAGTGGGTGGGGCGTGCAAAGGGGCCGCCAGAGTGGGTGGGCGGAGCTGTAAACTTTACATACCCATGCGACTCTTGTTGTCATTCGCAGGCAACTTTCCAAAGCTTTGTTGTTGTTATTCTTGTGCGTTGCCAAGTGACAAATTTTTTCTTACACTTGAAAATTTATTGCGTAACGGTAATGCGAAAGTTTTCATTACGCCCGGAAAGTTGTGGAAACTGTAATGCCAGCATGTAGTTCGGGCTTGGGTGTAAAGTTGTTGATTTGCCAACAATGTTGGCCCAAGTCTTGGGGCAGCTACTGGCAGAGCATAAAGTCGAGGCGGCATGCGGCACCAAGTGTCAAGTTATGTTGACGAACATTTTGCCAAGTGTAGCCATGATTAATGGGCTTGCAATGTGTAAGCAGGTTAACAAGATAGCACTTAGCCAAAGGACTCGCATCTGTGTCACGACTCAGGCTAATAATGACCAGATAACATAGCGCATGAAGTTCTCTCGAGCGCATCTCACTCTGTGCATAAATGAAAAATGAAGACGCTCTCGCCATGTGACACATTTCATTAAATTAAGTGCTGCCAAACAGAGAAAGTCATACGAACGACTCAAGCGAACCCATCAACAAGTGCTAAAAAACATTTCGATAAATCCAACTATCACTTTGAGTCTGTGAAAAACTGAAATGGAATCTAGCTGAAAACATTATTAATGCACTCTCGCATATGTCTTTAACTTGATTAATACAAATGATGCTAAGCCCGATAACTTCATTTAATTAACTTTGTGGCTGTAGCTGAAATTCACTTTAAGCTTACAAATTCTGCAGTTTCTCTTTGAATGCTTTGGCAGCTGCTTCGTAGTAAACTAAATTTTTTTTTTAATTGTTTTTTAACCTGGTCTTCAGATTGTAAATGTTAAGCTGTCTATAACTCGGTACATATGGTTGCCAGTCTGCTATAATTGTAAGTCTGTTTCTCAGTTGACTTTGTTATGTAACATTCAAGGTGTAGGCTATAGATAGATTTTGCTGTATGTTGTATAACAATTATATTTTTATATCGCACTCAATGGAATTATGAAAAGTTTTTAGCTAAAGAGCAATCATATACAATAACCCACCTGTATTTTGGTTATAATATTTTATTTTAATATATTTTATTTTATTTTATTTTTCAATATTCTGTGATACCGGAAAGATTTCTTTTGTTTACTGAAGCAAATTAAAGATATGCTAGCTTCAAGCTCCGCTATTGGCAGATTGCTGTGTCAGCGCCTTGCAACCGTCCAACGTCAGCCACTTTGCCTTCTGCCGGAAAGGGCATTTGGTTATAGATTAGGCACATTTAAGTCTGTGTGGCTTAGGCGCTAGAGTCGAGATTGAGGGTTCACTTATTATTTTATTTTATATTTATAATTTATCTGTTATCTCAGCAATAGACGACGTATCATAACAGCTTAGAATATCGACTTGTACCTTTTCGCACAGGGAAATTTGTATCTATAATGACTAGAACTAGCCTTGTCCTTTCACTTTCTAGTATTTACTACTACTACTATTATTTAGCCTTCTAGCTTTAATCTGTCTCAGAGTTATTGTAATTTTTAAGTAAAAACAGCAGCAATTTTACTTTACTCTGCTTCCAGTTTCATATAATATCAAATAATTATTCGAAATCTCAATTGAGACCCAAATAACCCAAAGGGTCCTGTTTTTTCTATCACAAAATAGTTTTCAATTTCTGAGGCCTTCATCAAAGTTCTCTTTTTTAATCATTTCCAGCATCTTGCCAGCCATATCCTATTACAAAAGTGCAGCACTCAATGGTATAGCACATTTTCTTATTTGTATAGCTCTTATGGCCTGCATTGCTTTGTCTGTTCGTGGCTCGGTCAAAGTAAATATTTGCCGTTTGTAAACTAATAGCGCTTTGGGCTCGGCTTCAGATATCCTTCACACTTTAAGAACTTCAGCATGGTATTCACTTACCTTTGTCGTTCGGATCGAACTCAGCCTCGAGCTCTGCTTTGGTGGGCTCCGCAGATGGGGAGGCTGCCTCGGCGGCAGCGGCAGCGGCTGCGGCGGCAGAGGCGGCTGATGGCATGGCGCTGCCGTTGTTGGTTGTAGTTTTGGTTTCCGATTTTTTCATGGTTTCTCTCACTTTGTGGCCTCGAAATACGGCTTGAATCTTTGTTGCGGCTTTTGCTGCAATCAAATGAATCGAATCGCACAAGATATTATAGAAAACTCTCATCTATTATGGACAACTTTAGAGAGACTTAAACTTAAGTAAAAAGTTTGATTTTAATAAGACGCGGCACAAGTTAATGTCAAAACTCTGTGACAGCTTTTCTTCTTCTCTTTTTTTGTGTTTTCTTTTGCCTTGTAATAACTTTTGCGCTTTCAAGTTTCGCAAAGCAATTAACTTCTAGCAGCGGACAGCCCACAGAAAAATCGATCGATTTCTGATTGAGCCCAAAAATTGTTGGAAAATGTTTTTCTGTTTATTTTTTTTTTTTTGGTTGGGCTTCTTGCCAGCTTTGCTAATATACTTGAAGCGTAACTTGGTGTGCGTGTCTGAATTTTGGGCGGGGACCATGCATTAAATGGCAACAGTATAAACTCCTCCATAGTGCTTAGTCTACACTGAGATACCCTAGGAAATAGCGTGCCTAAATTGCTTTTTTATTTGTGGCTTACTCATGAAGTTTGCTTTTAATCTAAATTGGATTACATTCAAGTTTAATATTCAATATTTTATGCTCAATATATACCACAAAAGCATTGCCAAATGTAGAGGATATCTAAGGCTTTTGCTGCTATGCGATGCTTTCCATGTGTCGCTTTTAGCCGGGTCAGCGTTCAATTTTTATGGCATTTTTCACGCAGATACCCAAATGGCTGGCCTTGAATAAGTTATAATAAATTGACACGTAAGGCATTTCTCGCCAGCACTATCACTAAAAGCAGCAGCAGCAGCAGTAAGCAACAACAACAAACCGAAACTGGCACAGAAACAGATACAGTTTTGTGGCTTGAAAAATGGTGTTGTATTGTGCATTTTTGCAAGGCTACGAACTGTTTCAGGCCACAGATAGCCAGGTGGGTGGCTGGTGGCAGGTGGCATGTGTCAGGGCGCGGCAGGTGGTACGGCCACAGTTTGCTGATGGCTTTGCCGCCGCTGTCAAGTGGTGGCCAGTGTACCGAGCTCGAGCTCGAGCAAGGCATTAAATCATTCAAGTTTTTGTTGTGCACAGATGTAACTATCAAGTCCTGACAGTTAACCAATAAACAATTAAAATAATTTATGCTATTTGCAAGTTGTGGCCAAGCTGAAGTGGAATTCAAGTCAATTTAAGTGCTGTCGGCCATATTTTATTAATGTGTAAAAAGTATTTCAAAAGGCATTCAATTGACTGCTCTATTCTATGCTGCGCGCCTTAATAGCTTGATAATTAAATTAAATATAAAATAATGTTTGCGAACTACTAATTGCATTTGCTTTACGCTTCTCTAATGAAATAAAATATATATATATATATATATATATATATCGGCGTAAAGTGGTAGCGAGGAGAGCTTAATGCATTCATTATTTATGCCTATTTGGAATATTTAAGTTTTCTGGTGCAACAAAAAAAGCTGAAAGCCTGACACGCTACATGAGTCGAAACGAAATTTTACAGTCTGCTCGCTCCTGCGCCTCGATTTTAGTGCAGCTATAAAGCTGACTTATGCGCAGCCAGGTTATTAAATAAATTTTGCATGCGGCTCATTAAGCCTGGCAAGCAGCAACAAAAATGAGCCGTAACCAAGTGTAGCCAGTTGCCAGTTGCCATTTGCACAGTGCACTCGAGTGGAAAATAAAATTAATAACCACAGCGAGATACACGCAGGTAACAAATTTACACCTGTGCACGTGCACACATCGCCTAATAAGGCCAGTGCATGAAATGTATAACAACATGCTGAATGGCATATTAACTTCGCAGGCGTCCAATTAAATGATATTTTCCTGCTGTACAACGTGGCGTATGAGCGACAGTAAAAGCCCATCAATGTCAAAAGAAAATACTTAATTAATGCATAAGTATGCTATATGCCTAGGAGAGCCGCTTCCGCTGCCTGCCATCAGCATCTGATTAAAATCTGCGAAGTCGAGCTTCTGTCTGTCTATGCAAGCTCCTTGTTTATTGTTGTTCTTAGGTCTTGCATCTACATTTTTTTGCTATTTTTGCAACCACTTAATGGCCATAAGTACGCTTAACTGGGACGGCAGCACGAGTGCTGTGAGAGGCCAGTAACAGTCCAAGTAAACTTATTTACATAATTAAAATTCATTAGCTAACGATTCGCCAAGGCATCGCCGCTGCTCACAAAACGTGGCGCATGGCTCTGGCAGCAGCCTTGTCGTTAGTTTTGCTTTCTTGTCTCCGGCAGAAGTTCGCTTTCTGTGGGCGTGGTCACGTTAGAATACTCAATTATATAAGCGCTGCCCGAGCACATAAACAAAAACAATTTAAACAATTGGAAAATGCGATTTTGTGTCCGAAGTGGCTAAACAAATTGCGGCGAAAGAAAAATAAATTCTATGCGGAAGCATATTTGAAATGAAAAAAAATTGCTTACTCAACAGGATAAGAGGATATTATATTACACAGAAATATAGTTGTAAGCTACCAGCAGAATTATTTTTAATTAGCACCGCCAACTTTGACCTTCGGCTAAGAGAACTTTACTCTAGACGAACTTTAGCCAGACCGGAATGCAAATCGTTTCGGGCGCTTAGACAACGCAGCAGCAACTAAATTATATATCTTTGCTAAGGCGACTCTCTATATCCCCAATGACTTTGGTATCTTCTGACTGCCGCCGAGAAGCTTATTTGTGTACTGCGACCTGCACAATGGCAGGTGATACTGGACTTAAGCCTGAAATCGTTTTCAGACCCTCTAACTGTCTCGTTTTACGGCCAATTTCACAGAGCACATCCAGCAGAGGCTCAGGCTCGGAGCGCAGGTTACACAAATGTCGTGCAATTTATTACTTTAATTAAATTGTAGACGTTGGGTGCTCGCGTTGCATTTTTATTGTGATTTTACTTTGCAGACGGCGCTCACAGCACGCCTGCACGACTCTGCTTAAGTTCTATCCGGGGGGAGGCGACTCAAACAGTACCTGGAGAATATGAAAACGAATGGGTTATGCAGAAGTCGGCGGCAGGTGGTGGCTGTGGGAGCCAGCAGCAAACATCGACCAGCTGTTTCCTGTTCGTGTTATTCTACGACTATAAAATCATAGTCGTGGCCTTAGACCATAAACTGTATGCTCGGCCGTGCATGCACCTTAATGACAGTCTTAAATAAATAAGCAGCTGCCGCCCTTAGCCGCTGCCGGAGCGCCAGCAGGCATCAGCTAAATGGCCATGTTTTAGTCCAGCTCTGACAAGGCTGCCGGCTTACACGACAAGTTGCGTGGTAATGCCAATTGATAAATTTTGAATATTTAATTGGCGAGCCGTTTGCATTTATAATAATTTGCCATATCACGTTCACATGCCATAAATTACATCCACAGTCCGGATGCATATTAAATTTGCATTTATTTCATTTCATTTTGTTTAATTGTGACTTTAAGTTTGTTGCCTGAATTGCAACTTTAGTGTGCTGCAGCCAGAGCCTCTGCTCACGCAATGTTCATAAAAATACAAAAACAGGACACGGCCATTAAACACGCCTCATTCGGCTGTTGTTCAGCTCACGAAACTCGATTATAATGACACACGTTCAACTCCATGGCAAATATTGGCACAGCAACTATGACAATAACAATCCAATAATAACAAACTGTCGATGAAGCAACTATTGATTGCATTCGTGCCTGAAGGTTCATGAGTGCTGCAAAGGGGGCACAGCAAGAACATCAACAACAACAGCGACAGCGACAGCAACAGTAAACAACAACTGAACTTGGCAACACTTTCACAGCTCTAATCAAAAAATCCCGCCCATAAATTAGCCGAAACTCTCAGTATCTGGTAATTCAGGAAAATATGACAAGTTGCTGCCATAAATATTGAGCTGGGTTATTCGCTCTGACAAAATTATAGACATTAATTTATATACATGGGAGTGGCCGTTAATGAAATTGCATTAATGTCAACGAGGTGTCATAAACCTGAGTGCCACAAGCAAATATATATAAACAAAAAACTCTTGCCCCATGATTCAAGCGTGCCCATGTTGCCCCCTAAGTGAATCTTTATGGCATCAAGTTTTACTCTCTGTTTTGTTTATGTTTTTGTTCTTTGCTTTGCTTTAGGTAATTGAGCGACGGGAACTTAAATAGCTCTGCAGGGATTACATCAAAACTTACTGTGCGAGGGTACGTAATATCGCAAATGAGGAGTGTTTAAAAATAAATAAATAAATAAATGGGGGCCTTGCTTAAAGTTGTTACTGTATTGATTTGATATTATATTGATTTGATTACTGTGAGAGCAAGTTTATAGAATGTCTTTCCTAGAAAATAAGAATAAAGTATTAAAATGTAAGAATATTTAACGGGAAGTAGCTAGGGTTAATTGAGGATAACTGGGGATAACTGAGAATAACCGGGGATAAGTGGGGAAAACTGGGGATAACTGGGGATAAGTGGGGACTAGTCGGTATAACTGGGAATTAATAGAGATAACCATGGATAACTTTGTGATAGTGAATTAAGTATAGTATTGAAATATCAAGTCATTCATCTGGGTATTCCCATTGGGGATAACAGGTAATAGTTGGGGATAACTTTGTATAACTTAGGATAACTTGGGCTTACTGAGGATAACTGGAAATAGCTGAATATAACTGGAGATAACTGAAGATATCTGAGAATAACTGGGGATAAGTGGGGAAAACTGGGGATATCTGGGGATAAGTGAGGATAACTGGGGATAACAGATAATAACCGGGGATAACAGAGATATTGAGTGGGGATAGATGGGGATAAGTGAGGATAAGTAGGGATAACTGGGAATACCTGGGAATTAATAGAGATAACTCAAGATAACTATGGATAACTGTGTGATAGTTAATTAAGTAGAGTATTGAAATGTCAAGTCATTCATCTGGGTATTCCCATTGACGATAACTGGGGATAGCTGGGGATAACAAGTGATACCTGGGGATAACTTGGGATAACTTTGGTTGACTGAGGAC